AATAAAACCATACCACTGAGAGTGGTAAGAAATAATTCAAAAGTTGGCTAGAGTCACACAGCAGTGATGTTTTCACAAGTTATTTGAAGGGATCTTGAGGGGCTCCTCTACCCACCAGAGCTCTTCAGGGAATGTCTCTCCCCCCTCCCCCCTCCCAGCCCCACTGCCTCTGCCCCTCCCCCACTGCAGGGCAGAATGTCAGTTTGTCAACACTCCAGTGCTGTTTATTTTCAAATTTTACCCTCTGCAGTTGGACCTGAGTGAGCCTCTGGTCACAGGTCGCTCTCTGGGTCCTGCCCTTCACTCTTCCCTTGGTGGTAGCTACTTGAAGTTGATGTTTGTGTCCATGTCTACGGGGATGGCTTTAGAAGGAGGTAAGCCTGGAGGCTCAGGGACTCCCTGACCTCTCTTAAGCTGTTAGAAATTTGAATTTGTCACTTCCCTGGGTATAAGTGGTTGAGCTGATGTAAAGGAAAGATTGTCTGGGACTTCAGGAAGGACATCTCCACTGGGATGCAGGGAAAGTCCATGTCAGGCTGTGAGCTCTGAGGGGAGGGGACTCCTTACGACACCGAGGACATATTTCAAGACGCCTCAGGAGACACACTGGGTTGTAGAAAGGATGGGAGGAAATCCTCTCTAGAAAGGGAGAGCTGTTACTTCAACAGGGTTGATAGACTATGGTGGGATGGTATCAAGGTGGAAATAAGGATATTTTCAAGGGGAACCGTTAGTCCTGTGTCCTTTCTTCAGGAACCTGGGACTTGTGTGTCTTACTGCTCTGAGGGGTTTGATTGGAGTTTCCTGGATCTTGGGAGGGCAGTGAAGAGAATGATCTTAGATAGAAAACTGCTCAGAAAACTCCTTGGCCCAAGTGTGCAGTGAAATATCCTCTGTGTGAACAAGGATAGGTAGGGCTTACTCAACTGCCACAGCCCAGAGCCCCCAAGTACCTTCTCGCTCAGAGAGGTCTTTTCCCTCAGTCCAAGTTGCACTTGTCTTCCATCACAGCACAGAAACTTCAACCAACACAGTACTTGGGCCTCCCTGAGTTGTTCTGAAATGTCATCTTTTTCATCAAAACAGGTCTTCAGGGGTTCTTAGTCTTGTCCACTGTCATTGTGGACCCTCAGCCCTTCATTTCACTGTTGGCAGGAACGCAGCCCATGTTCCTGTCTGGTGCTTCATGCACAGGGAGCACATGTGGAGTGGTGTTGGTTTTCTATAGCAGTGAAACCTGGTTTCCATGCTAAGAGAGGATGGTGAGGAGCTCACAGGAAGATCCTTCGCTGTCATGTTAGTACTAGGGTAGGACAGGTGTGCTGGTTACTGGGTGCAGGTGTCATGGACCTTGCTCTCTTTGACCAGGGCCTGCATAAGGTCCCACTGACCAAGGATGGGCTTCAAGTAACTTTGTCTCATGTGGCACTTGGCTCATGGAGGACCCATGGGGCTCTTTCCTTTCCATTATTGAGACCCCAAGGGAAAAGCTCCACAGGTAGGTTCCACTTCCACAACCTAATCTGACAGCCAGTAGCTGTGACAATCTCTTGGAAACTCCACAGCCACTATCACTTGGCTCTTTCTGGTCCTCTGCAGAAACTCCTATTTCTGCAAGGACAAGGACTCAGGGAAGCCAATGTCTATCTTCCAGACCTGTTCCATAGGAACAGAGCCTCCAGTGTCATGGCAGGAACCACACATTTCCAGTGACAGGACTGGTTAGGATCAGTCCCCAAATTAGGGTTTGTTGTGGGAACTGGGTGAGATCCCTCCCGGGGTCATCTCCAGGGTTCCTCAGGTGTTAGAGTGGGGAAAGATTTCATTTGGGGGCTGTGTCGTATTGCACGTGCAAGGCAAGAAAGACAGGGCTTTTGGAGGGCCATCAGGAAAAGGAAGTATCCCTTAGAGGGAGGGAAAAGCAGAGGAGTTGCTTTGGACAAGCAGGGGTTGGGAATCTTAGGGACCTGGAAACAAGCTCTATGCTAGAGAAATTCTGAATGGGAGGAAGAGAGCATGAAACCTCACTTGGGGGGGGGGGTTGCTAACTGCAAAATACTCCTGTCCACACAACCCTGAACTGGAGTGATTTGTCCTCTGATTCGCAGTGACTGGGGAAGAAGAGAGCCTCCCTCCTGCCCTTTCCCCCTCTCCAATTACTCCTTCCCTTCTCTTCCCAGCATCATCAGTGCTGCAGCCACATATGACCCTGAAGTCTGGTGTCATCCCATCTCCTTCTATGGTCCTGCACCCTCTCCCGCCTGACCCAGTCCCAGTACACCAGCTATACTGGGAGCCGCCCCCACCACCCTTTGGGAATGCACCACTTCCTCGGGGTAAGCCCCTGGTGCTTTCCCCTTTCCCCATGACACCTGTGATGGCAGGACATGGTAACTATGGCAAGCCTGGGGCTGGGCCTTTCAACATCACGGCCCAAGCCAGGAGAGCAAGGAGGCCAGCAGGGTCCCTGCCCACTCAGAGCACTCTCCTCACTCAGGCCCCAGGCATGAGGGGTGCCCCGGGGGTCCAGCATTGGGCTGTGCAGAATCCTGCTCCCCTGCAGCTGAGAGCTCCCCCCACGACCACCTTCATGCCTGCCCCAATTTGGGTGAGCATCCCAGTTTATGAAGAGATGTGGCCCTGGGGCCTCTGTCCCTCAGCCGTACCACCAGTGGCCCCTGCCATGCCCGGGGTGAACACAGGGCCACCACCACACTGTAACTGCACAGAGTGTGGGCTGGCCGCCTCGCGGGCCGATGCCTCACCACATCACACCTGCAAGTCTCCAAGTGTCTATGAGAACTTCCGGCGCTGGCAGTATTTGAAGACTCTGCTCCGGGAACACCTTCCCCAAACTCCTGACATGGAAGCGGTGTCCTGCTTCCTGGTGTGAGTACCCTTGCAGGGACCCATGAGCTCAACCTTTGGCTCCAGTGTGAGGAAGGAGGAGGGGAGTCAAGGACTTTGGGATGTAGAGGAACTCACAGGAAGGGCTGAGGGTGAAATAGTACGTTTAGGAAGAGTGCCTGATCTATGGACACCACTGCCCCTCTCTGAGTGCAGCCAATGGTTCTTTTACAATATTCATCACCATGCTGCTCAAGACTCAAGGTCAGAGAAGGTTCCTGGTGTAACACGAGCCACCATTTGAGTTTAGGTCTCTGGCTTGTCATGGTCACTCCCCTTCTATTTTCACCTTCCTTCATAGACCTGTGGATTCACCGCCCTGAGGTCACCACAACCACTGGTGGTAGGAGGCACAGAAACTGAGAGGGAAAATGACACTTGTTTCCACCCCTGTTGTGGGGATCGATGGTTAGGAGAGCGAGGTGCTGCAGCAGTCACATGAGTGCACACCAGGGGCCCGCATTCCATTTGATCCTCAGCCACCATTTAAATCTTCACCCCAGGCTTTATCCCTGGCTTCAGGTCACTGGCCCTGTCACCCCAGGCTGCCAGACACAATACCCTAGACTGGCAAGTGGAAGCCACCCACATTCATTCCTCAAAGTTCTAAGGCAGGAAGACCCTGCTGACCTCATCTGACTCTTTCTAAATACCATCACATTGAGGGTCAGTACTTCAACACATGGACTGTGGGAGACAAAACCATCCTGTCCATAACAGACAACACCAACAACGAGGACATGAAGGAAAATCAGTCTCCAGTGCAGCACTGACGTTGATGTCTGGTGTCTGCTAGGGCATCCTGGAGGCTGTCAGACCACAAGGGAAGAGTGTTGTGCCAAGGGCAGAAGTGACAGAAGCATGGGGTGTGCAGGGCTGGATCAGCTGGGTATGCAGGGGGAGGGTAGTGGATGGTAACTGATCCTGAGCAATTACAGGCCAGTGCTTCGCTCCCTGTCCCGCCGGCAGCCGACCATGAGTATGGAGAAGGGCCTGCGAATAGGTGTTCGGGAATGGGACCGCACCAGCACCTACGACCGCATGACATTCTACGAGGTGGCTAAAGAGTGAGTCAGGGACCCTGGGCCTGGGCCTGAGTTGCAAGAGCACATGGGCTGTGCAGCTGTGTCCCATGGTGCTTGTCACCCACACAGTGTCAGCAGGGCTTCACAGACCCCACCCCTGGACACCTTGGTCCTCAGGAGGCAGCTCCTTCTACCTGGAGGGCTGGCAAAGAAGACTTTGCCCAGAAGCTCGGGCCTCACTGTTCATGGGGCTTCTTCCGGCAGTGGGGGCTGTGTAAAGTGCCATTTAGTCACGTGCTAGTCCCAAGTTGCCAAAGAAGGGACCATCTCTGTCCATGAAAGGGACAAGAGGTTATAACCCAAGGTCCCAGAAGAGAATGGGAGAGGGGACAGCATGATCAGGGGAAGACAGCCTCTCAGGCACCCCGAGGACATGTCCTTGCCATTACTGCTTTTGCTCCATCTCATCTGTTCTATTCAAACAAACACATGAACAAACAGAGAAACAGAGAAACAGGCCACAGAGGAAAGAGACCTAATCTTCCCTCCTTGGCTCCCTGTTTCTCCTGACTTCTCCAGGGCCCTTGTTTCCCAGGGCATCATTCCAGGACTCACAGTCCTAGCTCAGGATCCCTGGATGGGATGAGGACTCCCAGTGTTTTCTGCCTTAACTCACTTCCTGACCAGCTTCTGATGGGCAGTTCCTGTTTGTGGCCCTGTGCAAGGCCATGGTAGGCCTGAAAAGGCTGAAAAAGGCTCTGTGGGTCACCTAGGCCTAACGAGATTCCCTGCAGACAATGAAGGGTGTGCCCAGAACTGTGATTGTGCCCTGGGATCTGCACCCTCTGACAATGAGACCAGTCCACCCAGGGCACTGCTCCTCACGCCTGACACTGGTCCAGCCCAGGGTCCTTATGGCCTGGGGCCTGGCTTCCCTACCAGCTCAGCTTGTGCCTCCCCACACTGCAGGTTCATGGAGTTTGAGGCTGCTGAAAAGATGGAACATCCCGGGTTGCAGTTGACTGGAGGACTTCCGGGCCAGCCAATTCCAGCCGCACCGAGGCCTGAACCTCCAAGGCCCCCAGTGACTAACATTGTCCAACAACCAGGTAGGGCTTCCCATGTTCCACAGGCAGTCATGGCAGAGGCCGAAGGGGGCAGAGGGAAGCTGATGTCCCACATCTGTTGGGTTTTCAATCGGGATGAAGCATTTGGTTTTGACAGCAGAAAATACCCCAGCGCCTGGAATTCCCCAGCCCTTGGTTTTGAGCAGGGTATTGATTGGCTGGGCAATATCTGAACCCACCATCTGTCCAGGACTTGGGGGCAGGGTGTGGAGAGTATCTGGCATTTTGGTAGTTCCACATGTCCTCCCATGTGACTGTCTCCACATTCCACCTCATGCAGAGTCTCCCCTCATAGGTTCTGAGGTCAGGTTGTCCTGGACTACTCTGGATGACATTAGGTCCCCTGATCACTGCTCTCCCCACTGGGATTGGGGTGTAGCTGGAGGCCCCATCCATACACCACTCCCTTCTCCCATTCTAGTGTGCGTCCCCAGGCAGGCAGACTCAAAGGCACAGGCTGCCTGCCCCCCGGCACCCAAAAGCCAGCAGCCACCTGAGACCAAGGCACCTGATGAGATCCCTCCTGAAGACATGAAGGAATACATGGAGATCATGGCCTGGCTGGAAGAACATCATCTCTTGGTCATTGAGGAGCCTGAGAAAAACCAGGAAGAAAAGCAGGATCAGGAAGACAATGACTTATACCCGGATCTCCTGAGTTACTGTGAGGAGCTATGCTCCCAAGAAGACTTTGTCGACAAGGTGTGCTGGGGCTAGAGCCCTGGGTGTTCTTAAGATTCCAGGAACAGCATCCCAAGCCTTTGGAGTTTAGCCTGATTCCTTAACTACTGAGTTTCTCCCTGTCTCCCTCCCTCTCCCTCTCTCCCTCTCTCTCTCTCTCTCTCTCTCTCTCTGTCTGTGTGGGGGGGTGAGTTTTTGTCTCATTGTGAGTGTATGTGTCTGGGTAAGTGAGTGTAGCTGGTGGTCATGATTAACAACTCCAAAGTGTGGACCAGAATAGGCTGGGCATTGATCCTGCTTCTCTTGGGCTTCCCCTTGGCTTAGAGTTGCTCTTTACCAAGGACATTCACAGTTTCTTCTTCTGATCCAGGTGGAAGACATTATCAACCCCAAGTTCCTGGAAGAAATAGAATCTACAGATGTAGAGACAGATATCATCTTGGCTGTCAGTGAGGTGCTAGAAGAGGAACATGCACTCACTGTTGAGCAGGTAGGCCAAGGGCATGAGGGACACCAGATGGACAAGGGATGGAGGGGCACCAGAGAGACAAGGGCAGGGGCACTAGATTAAGAAGACAAGGGGAGGGAACAACAGGCACAGGAGGGAGAGAGGGGCACCAAGTAGGAGAGGGGAGTATGAGGGGAGAGGGAGACAAGTGATGGAAAGACACCAGGTAGATTTGAAGGAGGGACATCAGGTAGACAGGGGAGGGAAGGGCACCAGGGAGGTCTTCATCAAGATGAAGGGGGGACCCTGCACACCAGGTCCCTGTGACTTTGTCCAGCCCTAACCCAGCCAAGAATTGCTGCCTTCTCGAGAGAGGCTGCACCCAGAGGGGGATGAGCATGGGGACAAGGAGGGAGGAGACCCCAGAGTGAGGAGGGCTGAGGGTGGAGGGCCGAGGGTGCAGGGCTGGAAGGAGGCTCAGCAGGGTGGTCCCAGGGACTTGGCCTCAGTCTCAGAAACTAGGACAGGCGAACCTCCAGAGCCCGCCTCCTGTCCCAGTGCCCTCATTCGCATGCTGTCAGGCCTCCTCATGCCTGGTGCAGGCCCAGCGAGTGCCCATTTCCTCCCACAGCTGGTGGAGAAGCGCCTCCTGGAGTCCAAGACCAAGGGAGGTGTGTGCGGGCCCCCGAGCCAAGGTGCATCCCGATCTGCTGTCCACCGCGGTGCGGAGCCAGACGACTGTGACCCCAAGCGAAGGGTCCACAAGGAGACCCGCCCCGCTCCAAAAGCTTCCCGCGGCCGTAAGAGACGCAGGGCCACCGAGGAAGAGCTGCCCGGGCCTGAGGTTCCTGCTGGCCTGCGCAGGCGACGCCGCCCTGCCCCACGGAGAGCCTCCGGTCCCAGTGCTCTGCCCCAGGACCTGGCACCCCGAGGTGCCCTGGGCTTCGGAGGAGCCTCTCCCACCGGGGTGCCGTGCGAGCCAGCATCCAGCCTGGGTGAGGAGGACGAGGACTTCTCCAGCCTGTCCTTCCTCCTGGCCTCCCCTCGCCAGCTGCTGCCCTGGGCATGGCCCCCGACCCCCGAGCCTGGCGTGGGCCTCCCCTGCCCTGCAGGTCCAGCACGCCAGGCCTCACTCCCCCAGGGAGGCAGCCTCGGCTCCGACCTCCCTCCATCTGCCGGGTCCAAGGAGCGAGTCCTCACGGAGGGCATCGCTCCTGTGGGAAAGGTGTCCTGCCCAGGGCCTTCCTGCCAGGTCTCAGGAGGGCAAGATTTGGCTCAGGGGCTGGTTCCATGCCCGCGGCCTAAGAAGAGAAGGCGTAACAAACTAGGCTCCCAGAAGAGGAGGAAGACCTGCCTCCCATAAGGCTGCTCGGCAGACTCTGGGGTGACTGTCCATCAGGTGGCCCTTGGCAAGATTTCACCCTGGCTGCATCTTGCACCCCACAAGCCAGAGGTCCCTCCTCCCTGAGTTCTGATCCAGCTGCTCTGGGGCATGGAGAGGTGATGGGAGGGGGTGGGTGGGAGGGAGGAGCTGCTGGGGTGGGGGTGGGGCTGTTCTCTGGGGGTGCTGTTTCACAATGTAAATAAAGATGATGGGAAAGTACTCTCAGGGTTGCTGCTCCCGTCTCAGCCTTTGTCTCTCCTGGGGCATGAGGACAGCAAGCAGGGAAGGACCTGGTGAGCGAAGGTCCAGGGTGCACAGGAGCCTGGCCCAGGTCTCCCCTGCACAATGGGGCTGTTCTTCCCACTGCTCCTGGGTGCAGACAGGCTGAATGCTCCTTGGAGTCCCCTTCACCACCCCACTCACAAGGCCTCATTTTGCTTAGGGGGCCTTCTGTGCCCATCCGGACCTGAACTGCACCCCTTTAAAGTTCCCTTCAGCGCTCTGTACCATTAGCCAGTGTGCTAGCATGCAGCCTGCAGCTGGCACTTTTCTTAGGGACCTTCTTTCTCCTTCTTGGAAGAGCCCAGAAGGGAAGGCTGGACCGATGCTCAGCTCTGGCAGGGCCTTCCTGAGAGGGTGGTTTGACCAGAGGACAAAGCCTGGTTACTATGGGAAGAAGCCACTGCATCTTGGGGAAACTTCAACTGATAGCACCAGCAAGGCCTAATGAAAATGCCTTCTTTTCTGACACCAGGGAGGCCTAGCTCCTGGGGACCACCTTTTGGAGGTGTGCTTTTATTCTACCTCAGAGATGCGGGAAGTCCTGGGTCTCTGTGCACTGAGCGGGGTAGGTGAGGGTTCCCGATTTGTGGGACCCTGGTCAGGCTGCCCTACCAAGGTGCGCAGGCAGCTGACTCACAGCCTGACCTTAAGACCTTAAATGTTTTGGCTTCAGGATATTTTTAAAGAACACTTTATAAATGTATGCACATAACATACATTCCCCTCTTTAAACATTTTAAGGGTGGTTATTTGTACAACTTGCAACCATAAGTGCAGTGAGTGTATTCATAGAATTTTCAGCTATTGGAATATTTTTATCACCTCCCAATACAAGCATACCCAAGCTTTAACCGTTTTTTCTTTCTTTCTCTTTCCTTCCCTCCTTCCTGCCTGCCTGCCTTCCCTCCTTCCTTCCTTCTTTCCTGCCTGCCTGCTGCCTGCTGCCTGCCTTCCAACTTCTTCCTTCCCTCCCTCCTTCTCCCTTTTGCTCTCTCTCACTTTTGCTTCTGGGGATTGACCCCAGGACCTTTTTACTGCTCCATATACCCCAGCCCCCTTTTTTTCTTTTTGGTACTGAGGATTGAACTTGGGACCTTCTGCTTGCGAGGCAGGCCGGTGGCGCCACTGAGCTCAATCGCCAGCTCTGTTTTTCATTTTTGAAACAGAGTCTCATTAAGTTGCTAAGTGGCCCAGGCTAGGGTCAAACTTTCAATCCCCTGCTTCAACCTCCCAGAGGGCTAGGATTGTAGGTGTGAACCCCCATGCCTAGCTCACAAGCTCCATTTTGAAAAATTGAAACACCCTGTTGATACCCTCCGCTTATATATACACAACTCACAACCCCCAAATGTAGACTTTGTCATCCCATATACACACCTGGCCACCTTGCTTTTCTCAAATTTTTCCACACCAAACAGTGCACACCCACAGTCTAATGTTAGCACCTTGGGCACGTGTAAAACTCATCTGTGGATACACACGTGTTCCCTAGGTCACCCATCTTCTCAAATGCATGCACAAAATTCACAGCACTTCACGATGCCCTAAAAATGCAAAGAACCGCCCCCTAAATACATATGTACCATGCATATATGCACACGTAACTACTCAGCACAATGAACTTCACAATCCCAGAATACTCCAGAATAAGCCCCAGAATACACTATACTGTAATAGAGTAAAAACTTGCTTCACCGCTTCACCCCCAAAACAGACATGGAGGCAAGACACAGCCTGGAAGCAGGAGGAACTCTCTCTGAAGCCTCCCTAGGATATCTCTGACCTTAGAGCAGACAGGAGGAATGTGGTGAAGCATTAACTCGAGATCTACCAGACTGTCCCAGACGTTAAACCCTCTCCCTCCCTCAGGGCACCCAGCTCCTCAGCCCACAGGACCCCACACTGGCACACTGGGGGCTGGCATATGGGGAAGAGTCCCGCAGCGCTAATCAGCCAAGGTCGTCCCTGTGCCCTAAAGCAAAACTCTCCAAGCCTCTGCACACCATCACCACATGCTCCACACAGCCGACTTTCTCATTTAGAAGACGGAATCTTCTGTTTATCACTGGAGAAAAGGTAAATCAATCCCAATCACATAATCCTGTAATCCTAACTATGACCAAAGGTCAGCAATCACAAAGTATGAGTGAGAAAGGAAAACATGAGCAGCACCACTACTCCCCAAATGATCTGAGAACCAAAATGATTATAAAGAAGTGGTGCCTTGCCTTAGTCACTTTCTCCTCACTGAGTCACAATACCTGACACCTGCAACTTAAAGCAGGAGAGGTTTATTTTGACTTCAGTCCATTGCTGGGTGGCTCCAAGGTAGGGTGCACAGCTCAGGGGCAGACAGAGGAAAAGCTGCTGACTTCATGGCAGACAGAAAGCAGAGAGTTAAGGGAGAAAGAACCTTTCAGATCACCCCCCCCCCCAGTGGCCAGCATCTTCTGATCAGGCCCCGTCTCCTAACAACAAGTCAGCTCTCAGGCCCCATAATCAAATCACCTCTAAAAGCCCTGCCTATGAGCATGTGAGGCTCCTGGGGGCATGTGCAGATATAAAACTTAACACATTCTTAAGGAAGTAGAAGATACCATCATCACGAGATAGAAACAAGAGGCTATGGAAAGGCAAACAACAAGCTCTTGAAAATTAAAAACTGAATAAAGAGAACTGGCAGTTTCTGGTCTGGCATATCAAGAGCTTGGAAGTTGCTAGTCTGTCGTAATAGGCAGCAAAAAGCTGAACTAGCTGGGAAAAAAAAGAAAGAAAGAGAGAGAGAGAAAGGGGGAAAGAAAACACACACACAATTGTACTTAGATTGGTCAGGGAATCAAAGTCACAGGAAGAACTGCTCTCCCCAAAATTGGAGAGAAAGACAGCAAATACAGACAGTTACAACTTATTTAATCACAATTCTCCATGGGGACCAAGGCTCATTTTATCCTATTGCTTTGTTGTTGCGTCTACTTTAAGATTTTTGCACCTATTTTAAGAAGTATAGTGCCCATATGTTTGAATTTAGGCTGCCATCTCCACCTACTTTAGGCAGTCAAGTTAACATGGCCACATAGAACAGTGAACTTGGAATTTTCCCTCTTTGTGTAGATAATTCAGAAGAATCAGAAACCAACAGTAAAATCACCTGGACTGAATTCTTTTTTTAAAAAAGCAGACTTTTAACATGACTCTCCTCTTTTTAGTTTTTCAATTTTAATAATGTTCTCTCACCTTCTGTATTTCATCAACTGATGTTATCAATTTAACTATTTTTAAGAAACAATCCATTTCATTTGAGTCTTCAAATCTCTTCACAAAAAGCTGGATATCCTTCATAGACTCCATCAATTTAATAAAATCTAAGTTGCTACTGACTGACAGTCACACCATTTTTATACAAATCATGAAGAAATAATCTAAGTTGATGGCTGACTGTTTATCTGTAGCAAATGTGCTTTCGAGTGTTCATTTTTTAAATAGCTGAAGATCTTTTGTTTAAGCTTCTTGAGATATTTGTGCAATGACATGTTCACACACACATGAAACAGAAAACATACTGGCTGAGACGTTCCTAAGATAACTTCCCATCAGGGGCTGCTGCTCTGAGTCACTTCTGGAAACAGATCTCTTATCTCTGTGGCACTTCTCTTGGCTCCATTCCTCTTCTCCTCTGCAAATGCTCTCAGCCACTGGATTTTTCTCAG